AGGGATTGTAAGTGCTTTACGGCGCTCGCAACTGCATAAGGTCATAATATGAGCGCATGGGACACATCAAACATTTTCAGAATTTGGTAGGAAATTTCGAATTTTTTGCCCTGGAAGGCCGAAGCCTACTCTCATCGATTTTAGGCCACCAAGGGATCTTTAACGTGCGCAAGTTGCACACAGGACCTCTAAAATTTTTCTCCCTTGTCCGAGAAGGCTAGGTGTAGACCTTTCCTACCAGAAGATCAGGGGTGTGGCTGAAAGACAGCAGTAAGAAGGAGTCAAGGAGTAACAGTAGAAAGGCTGCAGAAAGAGACAGGGCCCCAGAAGAGGGGGCAAAGGAGGTCGGGGGGAGGGGAGAAGGTGGAGACGAGAGAAGACAACAAAATATTATTGGAGAGCAGAAAAGGAGGTGAAAGGAGACAACTTTTAGAGTAGAAAATGTTTCCGTCGCTACCCGGATTCCGACCCGGGGCCTTTGAATGAGCGGCGAACACCTTAACCTCTAGGCCACGGGGGTCACCATTAATGGCTTGTGTAGTCGATCATTACATAACGATAAAAACAAGTGGAAGAAAACCACAACGACAGTTTCCGCTGACGCGCAGTTTATGTGATGTGTTTGCGAAGTAGAGCCGCACCCATTCAATTTTACTATTCAGCATTCACGATTTTTGGCGCTCTTCGCTGCTATTCGAAGCAAGGCACGGCGGAGCCCTCCGAATGTCTTTAGTTTAGTAAGAGCTTTACGGCATTCGCACCTGCATAAGGAAATTGTGTGTGTGGGGGGGGGGGTGTTTAAGTAAGGTTTTACGGCGCTCGCAACTGCATAAAGTCATATAAGTAAGGGGATGGATGTCAACAGAGATGTTCAAACGGGGAATCAGGCTTACTCTGCTCACCTCTCTAGCCTCAACAGCACAGAGTCTACTTCGACTATCAAGGCCCCCCGGAAATAGCAGTTCACAAGAGTGTGACAAACATACGAAAGAAGTAGAGGTAAATGACGATAGTAAGGATGAGGAAAGAAAAAGCAGCAGTTCCCCTATGTTGTTCCGACACAGTATGAGCATGACATGGATAAATCAGCCCATTTATAACTTTACTGTGCATTAGATCATGTTAATATCTCCCCTTTGGGAATGGCCTAAAGATAGCTTCAATTCAGTTGCACCTGGTTTGTTTGTTTTTGTTTTCGGGGTTGTTGTTTTTTTGGGGGGTTTTA